AACTGAACGTGCTCATTTCCTACTGTAATGTGTGTGACCCTCCACCGATGCGGTATATATAATATATAATATTGCACTGTTTTTAACATTATGCTAAAAAAAAATTTTAAGTAGGCGGAGCTTAGGGGTTCAAGAGGACTTTATGTAGAGCAGGTCAACCCGGGTAAGTGTGCAAAAGTTCAGGTCCATCTGAGTTACGGTGCGGCTATGTACATTTTTCAAAAACGCTTTACATATAGGTGGCGCTAGCGAGCATGTGGGACATTTTTAACCCGTCGACTCCAGAATGTCAAATTTTTCACCGGTCCTGACGTCCGTGCAAAAATGTTGCTGCATGAATGGCGTGGTAAAGGCCGAAAAAACAGGTTTGAAGATTGGCGCATATACTAACATGAAATCTACGAATAACAATAGGTCTTCGCACACTTCGTGCTCAGGCCCTAATAATAATAATAATAATATTAATACTAATAATTATGATGATAATAATATATAATAATAATTATGATGAACATTGAAAGATGTTATACAATAAATCAGTATTGTATTATTGTGAAGGAATAACACATTTTCATTAAACGACACATGATCAGAAATCCTTTATTGTTCCCACAGCCGTCCGAGTAGCTCCTGCTGGTGCACATAGTGATGTCATAAAGGGCCTTTATCTGATGTTCTGGTGAAGAAATCTGAGGGAGAAATTATCAAAATAACTAACCCGTTTCATTCATAGCGTACTTTATTTTGAAAGGTTAACATACAGGAAGTTGTAGAAAAGCATGATCAGCAGTCTCACGTCCAAATAAAAAATTAGTAACTCCTCAACATCACAGAAAATATTTAACAACAAGCAGGGGGGGGGGCTAACACCCTCTTTATGTGGGGGCGGGGCTAACACCGACTTTATGTGGGGACGGGACATGAACCTCTTTGTGTGGGGGCGGGCCATGAACCTCATAGTGTGGGGGCAGGGCTAACACCCTCTTTAAGTGGGGCCGCAGCTAACACCTCTTTATGTGGTGACGGGCCATGAACCTCTTTATGTGGGGACGGGGCTAACACCCTCTTTATGAGGGGGCGGGGCAAACACCCTCTTTATGTGGGGACGGGCCATAAACCTCTTTATGTGGGGACGGGCCATGAACCTCTTTGTGTGGGGGCGGGGCTAACAACCTCTCTATGTGGGGGCGGGGCTAACACCCTCTTTATGTGGCGTGTGGCTAACACCCTCTTTATGTGCGGGCGGGGCTTACATCATCTTTATGTTGGGGCGGGGCTAACACTCTCTTTATGTGGGCTGGGGCTAACATCCTCTTTATGTTGGGGCGGGGCTAACACTCTCTTTATGTGGGGGCTGGCCATGAACCTCTTTCTGTCGGGGCATGCCATGAACTTCTTTGTGTGGGGGCGGGGCTAACACCCTCTTAATGTGGGGAGGGGCTAACACCCTCTTTATGTGGGGGGGGCAAACATCCTCTTTATGTGGGGGCGGGGCTAACACCCTCTTTATGTCGGGTCGGGGCTAACACCCTCTTTATTTGGGGGCGGGGCTAACACCCTCTTTATGTGGGGGTGAGGCTGATGCATGCTTGTTAGTGCGGGTTGGGGGTAATGTTAGCATGCAGGGACAGGGCTAAAGTGAGGGGGGGCTGACACACGCAATTAATGTGTGGGAGGGGCTATCACACGCAATTAATGTGTGGGAGGGGCTAACACACGCAATTAATGTGGGGGCGTGGTTATTACATGCTTTTAATGTGGGGGTGGGGTTATTACATGCTTTTAATGTGGGGGTGGGGTTATTACATGCTTGTTAGTGTGGGGCAGGGCTAATGTTAGCAAAAAGGGGCGGAGCTAATGTTTGTAGGTATACAGGGGGAGGGGCTAATGTTTGCAGGTATACAGGGGGTGGGGCTAATGTCAGCAGGTATGCAGGTGTTGGGGCTAATGTTAGCAGATATACAGGGGCAGGGCTACACCTGTACAGCATAGGATTTATTTACACAATACAAATTGAAATCTCTAGAGAAGGAGTTGATAGCGTTTCTACAGAAGCCTCAGATCACACACACATATCCTTTAGTCCTTTATTTGGAGGAAGCATCCTCCATAATGTTTGATCAATAACACAGTTTTACTAACATTTATTTTTTACATTTAGATTTCTCAGTTTGAATTAAAAAGGTGAACCTGATCTCATGTCAGTTAGTCAGTGAATCAGAAACTGAAACACAATGAGATAAAAAGTTAGTATTTCATCAGAGTTTTCTGCTGTTTGTGAATAAAGAATCCGTTATAACTAAACGTTAATGTGTGTGTTTACATTCTGCAGGAATGAGTCCCAAAACTCTTCCAAGAGTCAGCAGATAATCCCTTCCTGTTTGGAAGTCAATGGTTTCTGAATGTGTTTTTGGTTGTTATCCTGAAATATGGTCTGTGGTTAACACAAGCTGAAGAGACTTAAACGTTCTGTTTTTCTACCACACAAAATATGTCAGTAAATACCCCACTGGTGACGTGAAGTCATGTGACCATGCTGTAGTTCCTTTATAGCCAAGCATTACCCTCCTTTAGCTTAGCGGTGGTGATGTGCAGTCATGTGACCGTGCTGTAGTTCCTTTATAGCCCAACTTTAGCCTCCTTTAGCTTAGCGGTAGCGACGGGAAGTCATGTGACCGTTCTGTTGTTCCTTTATAGCTCAACATTAGCCTCCTTTAGCTTAGCGGTAGTGACGTGAAGTTATGTGACCGTGCTGTAGTTCCTTTATAACCCAACATTAGCCTTTAGCTTAGCGGTGGGGATGTGAAGTCATGTGAACATGCTGTAGTTCCTTTATAGCCCAACATTAGCCTCCTTTAGCTTAGCTGTGGTGACGTGAAGTCATGTGACCGTGCTGTAGTTCCTTTATAGCCCAACATTAGCCTTTAGCTTAGCTGTGGTGACGTGAAGTTATGTGACCGTGCTGTAGTTCCTTAATAGCCCAACATTAGCCTCCTTTAGCTTAGCTGTGGTGACGTGAAGCCATGTGACCGTGCTGTAGTTCCTTTATAGCCCAACATTAGTGCTGTAGTTCCTTTATAGCCCAACATTAGCCTTTAGCTTAGCTGTGGTGACGTGAAGTTATGTGACCGTGCTGTAGTTCCTTAATAGCCCAACATTAGCCTCCTTTAGCTTAGCTGTGGTGACGTGAGAGGGCTGCCTCCTTTAGCTTAGCGGTGGTGACGTGAAGTCATGTGACCGTGCTGTAGTTCCTTTATAGCCCAACATTAGCCTCCTTTAGCTTAGCGGTGGGGACGTGAAGTCATGTGACCGTGCTGTAGTTCCTTTACAGCCCAACATTTACCTCCTTTAGCTTAGCGGTGGTGACGTGAAGTCATGTGACCGTGCTGTAGTTCCTTTATAGCCCAACCTTAGCCTCCTTTAGCTTAGCGGTGGTGAAATGAAGTCATGTGACCGGGCTGTGGTTCCTTTATAGCCTACAGTTAGCTTTTTTCAGAAATCTTAAAGTGGTGTTAATATGTGGAGATTATCCTGCTGATTTAAACTGTAAATATCATAAACGTGTGTTTCACTTGATTCTTTTCTGCAATTATCCAAAACCACATGGAGAAAGCCCATTGGACCAGGGAGATGCTGCCTTCAGGGACCAACACAACAGTACTACATCCTGCAGCTCTGTTACACATTTAAACAAACTAATATAAAATCTGAGCTGATGATGAGTAATGATTAAGGTGGGTCTGTCTAATCCCTGGTCTTTGACCTGTTTCTGGGATCTGTCTAATTCCTGCTGATGTCGCAGTCCTCCATCAGGTACTGACAGCAGTCTGTCCTCTGATTGGCTCACATATCTCAGAGGTTAACTTTCCAATGAAAAGCTGTTACCTTTCCTTTACATCACTTCCTGTGGCGGGACGTCCTCACTGGCTAGACTAGCCGACTACTCTGCACAAAGCCTAGAGGACACAGACAGAGAGACAGGTAGAGAGAGAGAGACAGGTAGAGAGACAGATACATAAGGAAAGACAGAGAGACAGACAGGTAGATATGTTAGAAATCGTAGAGTGAGACAGACATCTGCCTGCAGTCTCACTGCTGAATTCACGAGTATGGATAATGAAGCTTCATGGGTTTAACACCAAAGATAAGGAGGGTTTAATATTTTATACACGAGCACAAGGCAGGTAGAACCGGAGGACCGACTGAGATGAGATTCAGATTGGGTTCAAGTCGTTATTCTCCATCTTAATTCATTAATTAAACGCCTGCCTCATGGACCAACAGTAGAACAGGAAGTCCCACCATCTGCTTGAAATTATTGGCTGCCTCTGTCTGACACTGACGGTATGGTTGGGGCTTAACTGTGAGAGGTGTTACCAGAAGGGCTGCTGCTGTAACCATGGCAATAGACGTGATGAATTTCAGAGGTCATGTAGAGGTCCGTTTAAGGTTTCAGGTTCATGTAAAGGTCATGTAGGGGTCATATTAAGGTCATATTAAGGTAATACAGGTTATATTAAGGTCATATTAAGGTAATACAGATCACATTAAGGTGGTATTAAGGTCATATGTATGTCATGGCACCTTTGGCGCTGCTTTCCAGGAAGACTTTGATGTAGGAGGTGGGGACATATCCCTCCTCCTCCAGGTTCCTCCGTACTCTTGTCCAGCCGTCACCTTTGTCTTCTTCCACAACAGAAAGTAGTTCCCCCTCCACCATCGACAGAGTGCCTTCATTCTGACCTGCAGCAGATCAATCAGAGCATGAATACAGACACGACGGGAAGAAAGCTTTTAGTTGTGCAGCTCCACTAACTTGGAACAGTCTGCAAAAATGTTTAAAACTGAGCACTTTGGTTCCCCTGCATCTTCTAAAACTCGGCTGTGTGACATGCTGTTTGATACTCATGGTACCTGTCACTGTAAATAGAGTTTGTAAACTGTACCCTGTAATTCATGTTGTATGTCTTCCTTATTGTTGTTCTGTTGTTTTTCATGTTACATGTGTAACAAATGTGCTGCAGGTCACCCTTGAAAAAAAGATATAATAATAATAATAATAATAATAATAATAATAATAATAATACATTTATTTTGAGGGACGCCTTTCATAACACCCAAGGACACCTTACAGGGCATAGGGGCAATATAGGGAACAATTAAAACAGTGGATTTAGTGAAGTATCAGCCCGGGTAAGACAAGACAAACAACAGGAAATTGACTACAAAAGCACACAAGAGGACACAGGGTACAGATTATAAAGAAAATGCCAGTTTGAACAGGTGGGTTTTGAGTTGGGTTTTGAATGTTGTCATGGAATCAGACTGTTGGATGTGTAGTGGCAGGGAGTTCCACAGTCTGGGAGCCGAGCAGCTGAAAGCTCGAGCACCCATGGTTTTGAGGCGATAGCTTGGGACGGTGAGAAGTCCTACGGACGAAGAGCGGAGGGTGTGGGAGGGGGTGTACTCCTGAAGGAGGTCGGTGATGTAGATGGGGGCAAGGTCGTAGAGAGCTTTATATATGAGTAGAAGGTTTTTGTAGTCAATACGGTAGCGTACAGGAAGCCAGTGTAGCCGAGTGAGAATTGGGGTGATGTGGTTGGATGAGTTGGTGCGGGTGATGATCTGAACAGCAGAGTTCTGGATTATTTGCAGTCTATTGAGGAGCTTGATGGGAAGGCCAGTCAGAAGTGCATTGCAGTAATCAATCCGGGATGTGACGAATGAGTGGATCAGGATTTCAGTGCTGGGTTGGGACAGAGATGAGCGGAGTCTGGAGATGTTCCGAAGATGAAAGGGCGGTGCGGGTGATGTTTTTTATGTGTGGTGCGAATGAGAGGGAGCCATCCAGAATGACACCGAGGCTTTTCACTTGGGCAGCGAATGGTATGGGGAAGCCGTCGATGATGATGTTTGGTGCTGGGGTGTTATGTCAATTGGTGAGGGTGGATTTGGAGCCGGTGAGCAGGGCCTCAGTTTTGCTACCGTTAAGCTTCAGGAGGTTCCTGCTCATCCAGCTC